TGAGGGCTGGAAGGCCGGAGGCTGCAGGGCCCAGAGGGGGCGGGGAATGTTATGCAAATAAACGCAAATGAGCATCTGCCGGGGGCGGGGACAACCTGGACTCCGCGGGACCCTAGGCAGTAGTCGCCCACGCGCAGGAGCTCCGAGGCACACCAAGGCGGGGGGTGGGTTGCGCTAAAAGTACACAGAGCACGTGGGGCTTGGCGAGTGGGATCGGCTCAAGGCCCGGGCCGATCGTCTCCACCTTCCAGCTTTTTGCTACTGAAACCACCTCCAAGAAACCTGCTCCCCTTCGCCCATACCACAAATGTACCCTGCCTCAGATCCGGCTTTAGCCTCCACCTGGTCTCTCCCAGCCTCATTCCCTGGGTCTGTGCCCCCACGCTGCCTCCGAGAGCTCTTTCTAAACACAGATCTCCACCACCACGTCCCCAGCCCAGCGGGCCGCCCCCTCTCTCCAGTCATCCGCAGGCCTCCCTCCAGACCTGCCATGCACTCAGCTCCTTCTGGATGCTGCCCCACGCTTCTTCTGCTGCCTCCCACTCCTTGCGGCTCAGCTTCCATGGCGCTTGCCTCGGGAGCCCTCCTCGGATCCATGCTGGTCCTGGCCCATATGCCCGCTCGGAGCCTCCTGGGCTTCTCCTTAGGGAACGCCGCAGGGGACGCCTTTGTTGGATTGTTCCTAGTCCCCAACATACAACTAAGGACCGTGGACATCTAGCTAGTGCCCATATCCCCAGAGCTGAGCACCGTGCCCGGCTTCTGGCAGGAACTTCCCTTTCGAAAGCCACTGGCACCTCCCACTGCCCTCTGTACCAAGTCCAAGCCATTTGGCCCTTCGCATTCAGAGTTTTTACAATCTGGTCCCTCTGACCCCTCCACTATCAGGCCTCCACTGGCAGGTGATTCTGCCACAACTAAACACTCCTGCGCCTGTCCAGTTCCCCAGCATTGACAGCCTCTGCTGGAACGACAATACCAGCTACCATTTATGTGTCAGGTACTTTATCCCTGTTTTCCAGATAAGGAATAAAGTCTCGGGAAGGGCATTCATGGCAGAGACCAGATTAGAACCCATTTCCTCTTAGTTGCTGGAGAGATGCTTGTGGGTGGTGAGGATCCGCGGGGGGCTGTGAGGTGAGGGGGACCTGGAGTGGCATCCTGTTTCCACTAATCACTTGCTATGTAGCCTTAGACAAGCACTTAACCTCTGTGAGCCTCAGTTTCCTCATCTGTAAAATGGGGTAATCATATCTCCCTCGTGGGGATTGTCTAACAGATTAAATGAGATCATGTGTATCGAACAGTGACTGGCTGGGGTAAGTAGTCCGTAAGCAGCAGCTTGTATACTAATTGTTACTCATCCACCACATCCTCAGTTCTTCCCTGACCTTCAGTCCCCTGAGCTCCCGGATGCCACATTTACAACCCTGTCACCAAGCTGGGCAGCGTGGCCTGCCCACCAAGGTGGGAGCCCCAAGCAGCCAAGATGCAGTTTCTTCTCTTCTAGTGTACTGACCACAGGACAGGGTCTGAGAAGGACTGAGCAAGTGACTTAGTGAATGCCCCCTTGTGGGCCTCCTAATTAATTTTCTGGAATTGCTGCTCACTCATTGCTTCCCTGGAGCTGACTTGTCATTAATCAGGCACTGGGGCTGGCCTGACTGCACTGGCCTCTGGGGCTGACTGATGGGCTGTAGCGAGGGAAACCAGGGCCCAGCCGGCAGAGGCCAGCCAGGCCGTCCCGAGGATGCCCAGGGAATGGGACTGGCTGGCGCCCCCAGCAGGGCTGAGATTTACCAGTATATACCAGTGCAACCACGCTAAGCGGTAAAACATGAACACCCCGCCACATCGGTTGGTATCCAGCTGCTGCCCAACCCCTCAGCAATCCTCCACCACTCTGGCTACCTCAGCCTTTCCACCAGAACCTCCAGAACTCCCCACTACCCATCAACTGGACACTTAACGCCTGGCCCGCGGGAGTCACTGACAAACGTAAAGGCTTTCCCCTCTTGACAGGCAAAGGGAGGCACCACATCCCAAGGCAGCCCATTCTACTCCAGCTGGAGAGAGCAGACCCAGGCCCTAGTGACAGGGAAGCCGACCAGTCCAGTAGGGCGAGGTGAGTTAGAAGTGGGGAGCAGTCGGCATAGCTGAGGGACGAAAAGAAAAGCGGAAGGAAAGGGAGCAAGGGCTTGGGCAAAGCTGTGCAGCAGGATTGCTCAGGTCACATTCCAAGGCCATTCCGGCTGGAGCAGAGAATGTGCAGGAAGAGAATCAACGTTTACCAAGAACCAACTGTCTGCGGGCCTTCTGCCAGAGTCCCTTCCCACTTTACACCTATCGTAGCCTTGAGGGTTAACATCCTCACTTACAGGTGAAGAAACAGAAGCTCGGGTACAAGGCACTGGACGGGTAAAAAGAGAACCGGAGCCTTGATGGTCTTTAGTGCTGCACTGAGGGCATGGACACTCTGGACGCTTTCTGAGATAAAGCTAACAGGTCACACTTAAATTTGTATTAACATGGCATTCTTATCAGGTCCTAAATTCTCCCTGTAAGATCAGAATTTTTCAGATGAGCTATCTAAGAGTTGAGTCCAACTCCAGAATGGGAAGCCAGACTCTTTTCAAGAGGTAGCTCTGAGTGGTAGCCAGCTTGAGCTTGACCCCTCTTATATGCTGTGTGACCTTGGACAAGTCACTTCACCTCTCTGAGCCTCATGCGGCTGCTGTAAAGATGCACTGAGCTCGTGGCTGTAAGCACGAGGCTATTAGAGAGCCCTGAATTAATTAGTTTGATTGTGGCTGGGTATCCAGATGGAATGTGGACTGTGAATCCAGGTGGCCCACTCACAGGCTGTGTGGCCTCGAGCAAATGTCTTTGCCTCTCTGAGCAACTGTTTTCTCTTGAGTAAATGAGGATCGATTCAACGTAACTGGCCTGTTCTCTGCAGGAATGTCAAATCTTGAAAGACAAAGAAAGGCTGAGGAACTGTTACACACTAACAGGGACTAAAGAGACACAAAAACAAAATGCAATGTCTGATCCTAGATCAGGGCAAAAGAGAGTATTATGAAGATATTTGGCAAAATTGGAATATGGTCTGTAGGTTAGATAACAGCATTGTTTCTGTGTTAAATGCCCTGATTCTGATGATCATATTGTGGGCTATGTAAGAGGATGTCCCTGTTCTTAGGGACTGTATCCCGATGTATCTGGGGGTAAAGGGTCCTGTCCGGAACAACAAAACATTACACACATGTGCACACACACAATGATAAAGCAGTGGTGGTCAATATTAATTGGTGGATCTGGCTAAAGGGTTTATGGGAGTTTACTCAACTTTTCTTTAAATGAGAAAAGATTTCCTAATGAAAGAGTTTTTTAAATGGGCTGTAAGAATAGCACCTGCTGCCTCCAACCCACAGGGATGTCAAGAGGATGAAAAGGGGTGTGGGTGCACGCTGCTGGGTCCTGCACCTGGCATTCTGAGGGGCCCAGGGGCCCACCTGCACAATCTCGAGCATCTCCTCGCGGCTGATGTAGCCGTTGCCGTCCAGGTCATACATGCTGAAGGCCCACATGAGCTTCTGCTCCAGGCGGCCACGCGAGGTCACACTCAGCGCGATGATGAACTCCCGGAAGTCAATGGTGCCATCGCTGTTGGTGTCGAAGGTGCGGAAGACGTGCTCAGCGAACTTGGAGGCGTCACCGTAAGGGAAGAAGTTGGCGTAGATCTTCTTGAATTCGTCCACGTTGAGGATGCCCGTGGGGCAGTCCTTGAGGAAGCCCTTGTACCACTCCTGCAGCTCCAGCTCCGAGAACTCCGTGTTCTCCCGCAGGTCTTGCAGCATCTCAGGCCGAAGCTTGCTGTTCTGCTTGCCCATGGCCACTGAGCTGAGTCCTACCTAGGTCCCCCAGAGAGTCAAGGAATGGAGAGGGGAAGTCAGGACCTCCTGGCCCCTTGATACCACCCCAGGAGGGCCCCCAAATACCAGACACCCAGCCTCTCTTTTGACTCAGTGAGAGAGAGGAGCTGGCCCAGGTCACAGCCTGCACCCAGGCACCCTGCCTCCGTGACAGGCTCCACACCATTTCCCCAGCCCTCACCCTTCCCCAGGGAACAGGCCTGGAGACAGGAAGGGAAGGGGCTTACATTCACTAAGGCCCTGCTCAGGGCCAGCCACTGGGCCTTCACAGATATACACCACTTCACCCTCCCAAAGCGAAGCCTGCGGATTAGTCCCATTTTACAGATGAGAAGACAGGACCAAGGGAGTGAGGTGACCTGGTTCAAGTGTCACAGCCATGGAGTCACAAGACTGACTCCCAGCGTTTCCCAGGGAGGTGCAGAGCGGCCTTCTGGTCCACCTCCCTCCTCCCCACAGCCCCCTCATTGTCTCACATATGCCTGATGACCACGGAATACACCTGCAGCCCACCCACTGGCCTGTTCTCCCACACACTTGTGCCCCACGGGGGGTGGCAGAAAATAGGTGTTGGCGTGGGCTCTAGAGCCAGACCACCTGGGTTTAAGTCCCAGCTCTGCCTCTTACCAGCAATGTGACCTTGGGCAATTTCCTTAAACTCTCTCTGGCTCATCTGTAAAGTGGGGTAACAGTACCTACCTCATGAGGGTTGTGGAATCAAATTAGTTAACACATGGGAAGCATTTAGAATGTCTGCACATGTAAGTGCTAGATAAGTGTTAAATAAATAAAAATGATTTCCATGTACTAGATGCCGCAAGACGCATGCACCACACACACATGAATGCATACTGACACATGACACACAGCTCACCAAATCCATATGCTGGGTCCCACGCCACACACCAGCCCACACCCACCCATGGGTCACCATGCTTCCACATATGACAACATTTCCTCTGCTCTCCAACTCGCATGGGAGGACACAGGGCACCACGCATGCACAACGCTCATACCCTTCCCATCACAACATGCCAGCCCACGATCCCACATGTCCTCACAAGCCAGCTCCCATGCCGACACCTCGCATGTGGCTAGCTGCACATGGGACCCTCAGGCTCCCTTGCCGGCTTTCTCTCCCCAGGGGCGCCGCCGGGTCCCAGAAAAGGGAGCTGCAGCCCTTCTCAGACCTCGGTGGGTCTCTCCTCCAGGGAGACCTGCAGCCAGCCACCCCTCCCAGCACTCACCTGGCCTCTAGTCCAGAAAGGTCCCCCGCGTGCAGGAGCTTAGAGTGTGGAGGGCTGAGGGGACAGCAACGGAGAGAGACAGCCAGGCAGTTCTGGGCAAAGATGCGGGAGTATGTGCAGGTGAATCTCCCCGGCTTAGGGCTGTGCGACAGGGAGAGGGGGTTCCTTGTGTGTGAATTTGCACGCAGCTCTGTGCACATGTGAGTGAGCGTGTGCGTGAGTGCATGTGCTCATGTATGCACGTGTGTCCCTGGTTTCTGCACTGCATGTGTCTCCCCATGTGCCTCAATCCCTGTCTGTGCATGTGCATGTGACTAGGTATGCACCCCTCACAGGGAGGGAGATGCGCCTGTGTGCCCCCAGCAGAGTCTCACATGCATGTTGTAAGTTGGCCGCCCTCCCTTCTAAACCGGCCTCCCTGCCCCAAGCCGAGGGTGAACAAGTGTGTGGGAGGGGCTGAGGACAGGCCTGTGGCCGGGGTGGCCGAGTGTGTCCCCTAGTCCCTCCTCAAGGTCCAAGGAACTGGGTCATGGGGTGAGGGCAGAGAGGTGCGCTGGGCAGGGGAGACCTTCCCGGGCCCCCTCTTCCCCGCCACCCTCGGAGTTGCCCCTCCCGGTGGGAAGACGTGGAAATGACGGCGGTAGAAGATTTTGTTGTCTCGCAAAGACCCCAGTCCCCACAATGGGGCGGACTCACAGCTCGACCTGGGGAACCTGCCCGGGGCCCCCCTGGAC